AGAGAGCGCGGCGTTCCCGGTGAGCGCAAAACCAAAACTATACCCGAGACCTAGAAGACAATAATACTAGAGGAGAGGAGAACGGGGAGCCCGAAACTGCACCATAATTTGGGGCAGCGTGGGCCAGTCGCCTGGATTCGAGCTCGTAGCGTCCATCTGGCACCCGCCGAGGCCGCCGCCTTGCCTTCCTAACAAGCGACCTCTGGGATCCCGGATGAAAGCTGTAGAGATATATAAAGAAAGAAGAAGTGAAAAGACAAATAAGAGGTGCGCGTGCCCCGGCCGTAACTCGGGGAGAAGCGAGGGCGGGCTGCGGGCTGCGGTCTGCTACTGAGCCATCTGTTCCCGTGGCAACTGCGACCTGTCTTCACCGAAATATGGCTGTATGCGTTTCGGATGGAGAACATAGTATGCGACGTCGTCGGGCACCGGGTCGGCAATAATGTTTCCCAAATTATTGGCTTCTGGCTGCGGGGGCAAAACCTCGCGTTTGTTTTTTTGTTTTTCTCGTTTTTGGTCTTCTGACGTGCTGCCGCTGCTTCTGTCGAAGAAGGTATTGTTTCGTTTTATGGGCGCGCCGTGCCAGTTTCGTTCCGACTTCTATAACCCCTTCTTTATTTCTTCCCTCTACCTCGGCTCCGGGTGTCTCTATTTTCTTTGATTTCGGAGCTGCTACGTGCGTATTCGGGGACCTTTCGAGGGTTTGGAGGGCACGGTCGGAGAATGTCGCGCTCTTCGCCTTTCCGAGTTGGAGGATTTGTCGGCGTGGGCTTGATCCCCGCGCCCTTGGAGCGGGGAAGTTGAGACGAAAGGTTATTGAGGCTGTCGGAAATTGAGTCTCTGTTTGCTTCCTTCGAGGAGTAGAGGGAGGGACCTTTGTTGATTTACCAGTGATTTTATGATATGATGTTTTCTTGTTTGTTTTAATTTTTTTATTCGATTTATTTTGATGGTAGCCATTTAACGTGTTATTTTTATGCTGGCGATCTACCTTCGTTTGCTCTTTCTTTTTCTTCTTTCTCTTTATTAGAGTACAGTTCTTATGCGCCCATTTCCGGCTTGAGCGGCGTCGCCGTCGGCGTAACCGCGCGTTGCATTATGGGACGTTTCCCATAATGACGTCACATGTGACGTAACATGTGATGTCACGGGGGAACATTTTTCCGCTTAATTTGGCGGGAAATATATATATTTTTTGCTAAATTTACGGGGAAATTTTAACCTCGTGATGTCACACGTGAGGCCACTCAACCCGGGAGAATATTTCCGCTAAATATAGCCGGAAATGTTCCTCACTAAGATTAGCGGAAAAATTTCCTGCCAAATTTAGTGGGAACAATTGACAACCGTGACGTCACGTCTGATGTCACGTGACCCTCCCCTCTTTACCCTCCCCTCTTCCTCCTCAAGAGCCGCCCTACCTTGGCATTACAGAAAAATTGTGAACATCTTTCTTTTTCTTCTTTTTCTTTTTTCTTCCTAGTATTTACATTGTTCAGCGTGAGTTCTAGCACCAGGGGCCCAATAAGCTCCTAATAGGCGTTTTCTTTTTTTTTTTTTTTTATCTCCTGGGTAGCACAGCTTTAGGAAATGCGATGTTTCTTCCAGTAATTCATAACTGTAATACTATAATTTTAACGTTTACAAAAACAAACAAAAAATAAGCACAAAAAAAACCCGGAGGGTCGATTAGGACAACCGATTGTTTCCGATAGTGTCCTTCTAACTGAGGTTATATTTTGAATATGGAGAAAGTTTCATGCACCATGTACTCCGATGTGTGCTTTTTTTTTTTTTTTTCTCGTATTTAGTCATTTACATTTCAATTTTTTTTTTTTGCACTGTTTTCTTTTCTCACTGTAAAACCGAACGAAGACTCCACGCAGTAGTAAAAAGAAGAATAAAAAAAAGCTGTAGACGTCTAGTGCTTAGAAGCTGACAGACGATTCCTTTTGGTTCTGTGTTTTTCCTTCCTCCGTTTCTGCGCTCGAACCGTGCATAAAGTGCTCTTTCTAGCCAAGTCTACCTAAAGCGCGTGTTTAGAGCTCACGCGTCTGTGTTTGCGTTTACGACGTACCACATATCCGAATCCGGGCCTCATAACTCAACAGGGCGACTCTTGGTATGACAACTCAATACAACGTCAGCGGCATGGACATACGAAAAAAGGACAACCGTGTTCTTCGATTCACAGCTCAAATTAACAACAGAAATGCGTCTTAACGTTGCGGGACACAGAAAGTACAGCTGAATAACGCGTATATTTCTCCTATAAATAAGGAGCTAATCTTAATAATTAATTAAATAATTAATAACAATTAGCGGGACTTGCTAGAGTCAGTGGCATATAACTTGTCCCCCAAATACAGTGAACGTGTGAGGGTTTCTTTTGCGACGCGCTTCCGTAATGTCACGCTCACCTCGCGGAAGCCATCCTTATACAAAGCTCTGGGTTAATAAAACGAGGCATGTTTTTGTTTCGTTGCAGGCACGATCAGCTCGAATCCTCCGAGATTACGGCAGGCCATCCCAGGTCCGCCGTTCGCCTTTTCCCAGCCGTGCCGCCTCTCTTCGCCGACGGACTCGTCCGAGTGTGTGCGGACGGGCTGTGTCGGACCGTGTCGGACGAGCAGGGCCCGTGGCTGGGGTCGTCGTGTGCGACGTTCGCTGCTGCCGGACGCCGAGAGCTTCGGGGACAGCAGTGGCCAGGCGACCGCGTCGTCGGCCAGCGAGGAGTTCGCCTACCCGCCGGTCAAGAGCGTCCGAGTGCGCGATGTGAGTTCCGTGACGGCGCTCAAGGGAAAGTCGGTGAGCCTCGTGTGCCCGCTCTACGTCGCCGCCTGGGCGTCCGTCTCCTGGGAGAAAGGTGCGTGGCCGAGCCTTTCTGCAAAACTCGTAAGCGCGTGGGAGATGTCCTACGCTCCGTTTCACCTACAGTGGTTAGAACGCGTCTCCGTCTGGTGGTCTTAGCGTCCTATGCGGGGCGCAAGTTCGTCTGCTTCCTGCACAGGGGTTACGGTAATGTCAGAACGCCGAGTTCTTATTGGCTGATTGAAAAAAAAATAGTCTGTAGACCTCAAGGCATCCAGCATTGAGGTCTACCCACTATCTTTTCAATCAAAGCCAATCAGAGCTCGGCGTCGTGCTGACGTCACCGCAATTCCTGCGCAAGAAACAGACGAACTTGCTCTCCGCATTCCGCCCGTGCATCCAAGGTAGTCCCGAAGTGTCGACGAATGACGTCACGGGACCGAGAGTGTCGTGCTGTCGAATGTTGCGATCCTGGCGGTTGGTCGTAGAAGTGCTGGCGAAAAGCAGGAGCAAACGCGAGTGTCGCTGTCATCGCGGCGTCCCAACTCCTGGCTGCCGAGACTTCCGTGGACTGCCGAGCTGAAGAGCGCCCTGCAGCGGAACAGGCGTCTGCCACATGCACCACCGCTGATGTGACGCCACCAGGATCGCAGCCGGCGAAAGCACAGCACTTGTATGACGTCATTGGGTGGATATCGAGGGACAACTTTTTTGAATGCGGTAAACACACCAGTCGGAGGCGCTTTCCAGACATCATAGTTTTGACCATTTGATAGACCGCAGAGGACGCTAGGAGTCATCAAAGCCAATCCGAAGCCGAGTGAGTGTCACGTGACCCACGGAAGAGGTGCAAAAACGCCCGGGGTGCATAGTCCCTGGCTGGGATGGCTCGTAGCGTCGGCGGCAGTCTGTCGTAGGGTGAAACGAAGTATATATAGCCTACTGCTATCGTAATACCATCGCCTCTATACGACACCAGGGCCGGAAAGGTACTACAAATAAACCCCAGACTCATTAGGTATTACATAGAGGACCGTTTTTTTTCTGTCATTTTACAAGTGAAGAATGCGCGTGCACAATTTTGATCGGGGCTCAATGTGCGCGATCACGGGCCCCCCTAATTTCTCCTTCAATGCCACAGAAAGTTTTCCCTAAGTATAGAAAGTTGTAGTATAGCGTTTTTGTGGCGTTTCGATAACAATAACCGACACCCCACCGGCACCTTTGCGCATGTAACGTACCAATATCGGAGAGCAGAGATGGTGTACCAAAACCCCCCTACTAAAAAACTCTCGTAGACAGTTTCTTTTTTTTTTTTCGTTTTTTGTATTGGAGACGCCACAACAGCTCAAGCGCGCCGCTCCTGTCCGTTCGCAGAGTTCCGAATCTGGTGCGAAGCGATCACCGAAACCTTCCCATTCGCAACTCCAAACGAGGCAACGACACCCAGCGGAAAAGGCGCGAAAGAGAAAAGTTGGGGGGCTATCGTCTGGTCAAGTCGGTGACGAAAACTGGCGCGGCCTGGCGGCCGAAACGAAAAAGAACAAAAACATTACCTTATTTTGATTTCGTTTTTTTTTTTTTTTTTTGCTTGGTGTAAGATAGCGGTTGGTTACCAAATCTCCTCCGTGGTAGCTTCCCGGTTCGGTTCCACCCGTAGTTCTTGATGTTCTACGCCATTTACCGAAGCACAGCCCGGGTCAAGCATTGGACCCGAGTGCTGGGTCAGAGTTCGGCAGCACCCGTGTCCAACCAGCGGCCCGCCCTGGTTTCGGTACATGACGTAGAAAGCCTGTCATTTGGGTAGAGGAGGCAGAAGCAGAGGAACCGGGCACGTGTGATCGGTTTCCTCTCAATAGACCCTCTTCAAATGCCCATCAGGCAACATTGGAAATCGCCATTGGTTGGTCTTTTTAGACTTAGGCTAGGTGGCGCATCCATTCATTCATCCGTCCCTGGACACGAAGCGTGTGATTGGACCCGAGTCCTCGTCGAACGTCGACGCAACCCTCGTGTCGAATACGAGCTCAGTTTGCGTGATAAGGCAACGATGGACAGGCGCGGACTTTTGAAAAGAGTCTATTCGAAGCGCTACTGTATATAGACACAAAGTGGGAGGTGTTGTCTGAGCCAAGTCGTCCGCAGTGACCGATTCCTGGCCGCCTGGGTTGTGGTCCCGGTCGTTGCAGGCAGCAGCAAGATTCCCTTCAACCACCGGCAGCGCGTGCAGCCGGATGGCAGCCTGTCCATCAGCAACGTGCAGCAGGTCTCGGACGACGGTAGCTACGTGTGCAGGTTCACGGACTCGCGGAACCAGAAGCACACGGGCAACGTGCTGCTCAAGGTCATCGGTACGTCTACGCCAACGATATTCACTTTGGACCTGAAATATATAGCTCGTGACACTGTGCGCTGTCGTTTACGAGTTGTGGCAACTATAGCAAGCGGCGTAACGAAGCCTATTTTTAAATGCGACGTCATTTCTCAGCAAGCCCGAGGTATTTCCGCGTCCGTAGCTTGGTTGGCAACTAGCGAAGCAGGCGGCACGCGTCTGTTATATATACACGTACTTATTTTAATTATACATACATAGGTAAGTCGCCCAATAAACGATATATGATATATTAGCTTCTGAACGGAAAATGAAAAAGCCACGGGTCTCACTATGCTTTGTACACTTTATGTCTGTGTCGCTATATACGGTCGAGACTTGTTATAACCTAGTCGGTTATAACGAAATAGCGGCTACAGCGAAATGATCACGATTTCCCATTCCCTTTTGCACTTCGTTATAACCGAAGTCGGTTATAACGAAATAGCGGATATAGCGAAAGTGATTTCCGATTACCGTTGACTTCGTTATAACCGGTCTCGACAGTAGTAATACAGAAACATTTTAAATACTGTGATGATACTGCAACAGTCGTTAGGTGGTAGCGAGAGGCCCGTCTGCAGGAAGTAGAATGTTACATAAAAAACTATGTGAATTAGTTTTAAATGTAATAGAAAGCTTCGTGGACATACACAAAATATATTCGTAAACTTTTTACGGCAGTTCCTAGGCAGTTTAATAAACAAGCGCTTATTCAGCATGAAAAGATGCAAAGTACTTTCCCATCTCAGCGACGATCTGCGCTGCAATCGCGGCAACAAATTGTATCCCTCTAAAGTGATTAGAGGTGACCATAGCCACCAGAAACCAGCTTTCGGCGCAACGCACGATCATACACAATGATGACTGACAGTATAGTTATTTTTCGGAAGCGACTAAAATCACCCTGCTGGCACAAATGAGCTCACAGAATGCTACAAGCCCGACCAAAAAGCGGAAAGCTTTTCCACCTCACGAGCATTGATGCTTCCAAGCAGGTCATTATAAAGCAAGGAGCTCAATCAAACTAAAAGAGCAAAATCTGCCGCTCGCAAATTGCAGCGAAATCCATTCTCAAATTGAGGGTGCCAAGCAGTCTTCACTGCCCATTTAGAAACGGGTAAGCATCCGTGCTTAGAGAGCACGAGTGATTGAAAGGCCCTTGTTCGAAACACAAGAAGGCACCGTCGCTGGTTTATTGCTTCAAGCTTTCCTGCTGGAAAAACGCTTCTACGGGGCTGAAAAAAAAAAAAAAAAAATCGACGGCTGTTTGTCGGAGATACGACTCAGAGGAGAACTTTGTTTTTGCTCGGGTCGTTAAGACTGCCTTTAAAAGATCCGCCCAGTGAATCGACGTGAACGTTTTTTCGAGCTGCGCCTCATTTGCTTCCGGTTTCGTGCGTATGCCTTTTTTTTTTTTTTTTAATGCCGAAGCGTAGGTTTTGGTGAGACGGTTATAATGACAAAGCGACAAGAATGCATTTCAGAGAATTGTCCTGCACACATCTTTAATGCGTATAAAATGCAGGTTTCGTCGTCCAACATAGATTCGTACTACGGGCCAGTTTGTAGCTGCCGAAATATATATTATTACCGACTCACCTTTGAAAACACCGGTTATAATATGAAACCGACGTTATCAGTTCGATCATATAACTTTTCGAACTTGTTATTGTTCAAGGAATTTTGAAAACAGAAAAAAAAATTGGGGACACAACCTGTTTTTGTTTTTTTCTCCGTCTGTACATTTCGAAACTACATAGTAGTAAATTTATCGGAACAATATGTTACGCGAACTTTATGCTAACAACACGCTGTGTATTTCTGTTTTGTCTTTTGTGTTCGTGTTTTTAAGGAGTTCAAAAATATATAAATTAGATTCTCAAATGATGACGGGACAGTCCTCACGTCATCCAATGCACAGTATGGACTGGGTGATGTGACGAGGAAGCTTGTGACGGACAAAACATTTTACTATCAGGTATTATAGAATACCAATAAAACGTCCTATAAAACACCCAGCCCCCCAGAAAAAGAAAGAAAAAAATAAAAAAGAACGGTGACATCCTGCGCTAGCCCACTGAGTGAGCGACGCATCGCCGTGGGAACAGTAACGATTCCCTCTCATCGAGTTAGGGATACAAGCGCCTTTCCCGCGAGATGCTAATTCCCCACGACAAGATCGTCGACGGAGACGGGGCGGGGCCGGGGAACAGCCTAATCACTTAATTGGCGTCGTCGCCCCGCGATATGGGAGAGCTGGCCTACAATGGCGGCTGCCGCCAACACCCTTTGTTATCTCATCCGCGGGGGAGGAGGGATGGCTCTCTCGTCCCCTGGAGACGCACCGGCTCCTCATTAGGGAAAAGGCGCCAGCTTGGGGAAAGCTCGTATAAGGTCGCGTAATTAGCGCAGTTTTAAACTTAAAGCTGTCAGGACAAGGGCGAAAAGAAGAAAAGGAAGACGGTTAAGGTAGGGGTGGGAAAGGGACAAATTGAGGAAGGACAAAAGCTCTCTTCCTTTACGGGCTCCCTTCGAGTAGCGTACTTCCGGTCATTAGGGCAAATGGCCCGGGACTGGGGAAGGCGACGGAGCGTGCAGTGTGAGCCAGCAAAGTCGCGAAAATTGAGAGCGCATATTTCGAAAACACGCATAGCAAAGTAAGTTACCCCCGTGGGAGACACAAATGGGATAATGTTGTAAAGGAACATTAAAAGAAAAAAATGGAGCGTGGGGGCGTTTTTATGGTCCCCGTTATTCTAAGAAACGCGAAGAGGCGACCATTTCCTCATTATCGTTAATCCAAATTGTAATAAGGAACAAAGTAGGAACTAATTGTGAAGTGAATCATTTATAATGAGCGGCGTTTCTCGTTTCTTAACCTGTCGTCGATATCTTCTGGAACGATTCAAAAACTGAAGGACGTTGTCATACGTGCGTGCCTCATAGTTATCGATAGCTTAAGTAACTAAGGGTGTGGCCTATATTGTGATGGCGCTTCCTACTCTCTGATTGGTGCTTCGGGATTCTTATCGCTTGATCTCGAAATCTCATTGGCCACCGAGCGACAATAAGATGCTCCGGCCTCTCCACGCCCTGCGATTCTTACCAGTGTTGCGGAGTTGCCACTCCGGAGTTGGAATGATTCCGGAATCATTCCGAATTTTCGCGACCCCGGAATGGAATGGGAATGGAATGGCGGCAACGTTGAGGGGAATGGAATGGGAATGGAATTAGATGCCTTTTGCCCGGAATGGAATGGGAATGGAATGGACCCGGTTCTCTTTCTTTTTTTTTTTTTTTTTAGTGTTTACGGTAAGCGAACTTGAGCCAATCAGCGAGCCAGTTTCTCAGAAATAAAATGAGCGGGCGGGAAACAGCTAACCCGCTTAGAGCTCTAACAGACTTATACGCAAAAAAATGCAATACAAAAAAAAAGCGTCAAAGCGAAGAGCAGAGGGGGAGGGAGGGGGGGGAGGGGGGGGGGGGGGGGGGGCTGGCGGTGGCGCCTTTCGCGCAGGCGGCAGGCTTTAGTGGCGTTACACGAGAGCGAACGAAACAAGAAACCAAGCACCAGGCAAACGAAACGAAGGCATGGAGAATACACGCGCGCACAGACTGAGATCTGGGAGCGGGGGACGACTCATAACTCGCAGAGCTCTGATAACTCGTTGACTCGCGCGCCCCCGAAAGATGATCAGTTATTGTTTTCTTATAGTTCGAGGAGCATTTTTTGGCAGGCGGCCAATTAACCCTGCTGCCTTCCACGTTCATTCGCGCGCACTCCTTTGAAGTGCGAAATCTGGGTTTGCTTTGGCATTAAAACAAAGCGAGATTCACTTCTCTCCTCTCCTCTTGCGCTTTGCTCCGACGCTTGTCTTCGTATACTGCATTTTTACGTGTAGGTCCGCCTTTTACTTGGTCTTTGTTCCGATACTTGTTTTCTGTGTGATATGTTTTACATTCAAGTGGGTTAGGGTTACAAGCAAGCTAGCAGATTCCCGCTCATTTCCTTTGACTTTAGCCTCTGCCTACTATGTTTCACCTTGTGATGGACCGCTGCGGACGCTACGAGTCGCCCCATGCAATCCAGCACCGTGAGGGGGACTGCACGCACGGCGCGTTGCTGCGCCCCAGGGTCACGCGACACTCGGAACAGAAGGCACTGGATTGGTTTCGATGGGTCTCGTGCTGTCTGTGGCGGTCCATCGTGAGGTGAAGTAGATTGTCGTCACCGCTCTTGTCGCGTGACCGAACTGACTAGACCTGCAGAAAGACAGTTTCGTGACAAGGTATATACTGCCTCTCGTGCTGCGCCGTAGAGGCTGCACTTTGTCAGGGGATGTGTTCTTGCCACTGTGCATGGAGTCGCTTCCAGCAGCGTACTAGCCGTATTGCTGTGCAGGTATTTGAAGAATACAGTAATCTAGCTTATTTCTGCGCCACGTACGAACTGGACATTTTTATGGTCTTATCAAAGAAGCGCGCTGGCCGCGTAGTCCTAAAAAACAAATGCAAAAAGTTTGCGAAAAAAAATTGTGGATTTAAGTTTTTTCTGTTTGTTGCGAGCCACGTGGTCGAAAGACAGATATTTTAAACAGGCATCGACATATCAAGGGGCTTTCTCGGTGTTTGCAGAACAATTTAAACAAACACTTTGTGCCACCAGCGCTCCGCTTAGTAAAATCAGTGCATTTTTGAGGCATTTTGCATTTTTTTGCAATTGTCTATGCGTTTGATAATGTCAGCATTATGGTGCTTATGCCGGCGATACAAGTAGCTGTCCAGTGCCAATTTTTATGTTTAGGAATTAGAGGAATGGAATGGAGCGATTCAGCCATTCCAGGAGTGGGAATGGGCCCAGTGTCCCCATTCCTATGAGTTGAAAAGAATGGAATTATCGAAAACTCAAATTCCCGGAATGGAATGGGAATAGAATGGGGGTGCCCATTCCGCAACACTGATTCTTACGGTGTCAAG